CGGAAACAGGTGACTAAATGGATATTATTCCGGGAATGCATCTGAAAATTTGAACTTGGTGCTAGCCTGGTTAGATTTCAATGTCGCCGCAATAACATTTCCATCCTACACACCATTATTTCTGCTTTCTGTTAAAGCAACTGTTTGCGGCGTGCTTGCCACTTCCATATTTTCTGCCATTCACATTTTCAACTTCTGAAGTTGTCCTGCTTTGCTTACATACGCAACCGAGATTTGTTTATAAGCGCGTACAACCTGGAAACACGCAACGAATATTTGAATCCACACTAAATATCCCACCCAAGGGGAACTTTTTCACACAATTTTTATAAAACGGTTAAGGACCGCAATTCTGTGTTCCCCATGTCTGGGTCACTTTATTACAGTTGCTTTGTGGGCCGGAAAAGGTAATTCTGCTAGAAGGAAATTTCAAAATAAGCCATACCGCACAGCATATGGAGTTAGTAAGTTGAAAGCAATGTTATTACCGACGATCGAATAAGAGTCAAACAATATACAATCAAACTGAAGTACCTAGCTGGCGATAATCCTCCTTGAAAGATGCACAACAATAAACAACACATTCAGTTTGTCCTAGAAGCCTTCTATCGAAGAAGGAAAGCATTTTGTCCACGCTAGGGGATTTGCAACGGTGGTGCCAATTTGTATGAAAAGAAATCGGCGGTAACTATTAACAATGTTGTGATTAACTAGAAATAGAGTGACAGGGACTGCCGTTTAGCATGTCTATTTATTGCCTTTTTGGTGAAAACCGGTTAAGTGTTTCACTACCGGTTTTGCTGACTTCATGAGGAATTTTCGTGTTTCCATAACCCTCATTATCTAGTGAGCACCATCTTAAACAAATACATCGTGTTATACATCCGCCTGCAAATTAGCTTGGTTTTTAAAAGCTAATTAACTCAGTGTTTGCTGAATCTCCCAGTGACTATAGCTTTCAACTAACCGCTACCCACAAAAGCCGTCTCATGTTGGGAACGACAATCATAATGTTGAATTCTTTTCCTGACCCAACATTAGAAGGCCATTTTTTAAACAGTTGTTTCAGATGATATTCAATTTAGCCTTCTTTGATAGCCAACTTACCTTAAAAATGACTGTATTCGACCAAAGGTTTGCATCTTTGTGTTGAAAAGGATCAGTAGTGTGAAGGAAACTCGGGTAACGTGTCCATCTTTTGAGTCCCAGGAAAGGCAAAACCGCAAGCTGCATGCGAGGATTTCTCAGCAACCCTTAAAGCAGCTTCGGATAAGAAGAATAAATCGGTATATTTAATATACTTCCAACCGAAACATGGAGTCTTTATGCAACAAACAACTCAAGGAATGTCATAAAAAGTAACTCAGTTAGACTTTCACTTAATATGAGGTCAATTTATTTTTTCATGCTTAGTTAACACAATAACAGTATTAACGAATTCCCAACAATCTACTAAAATTTGAACAGTCGTGCTTTCTCTTCAGTTTTGGCGGGTAAATACGGCCTCTCATGGTCTCCTTGAACTCTTCATAAAAAATAACTGCAATAAGGCCTGTTGTAGCCTGTAAACAGCTAACACATCAGTGCAAATAACTAAGAATAACTGAAATCCTATAGAACAATGTTTGAAATCATGGAGTGAAACAAATTTACGCTGCGCGAAAACCATAAAAAACCGGAATCAGTAACAAGTTTGCAGTTGTTCGCATAGTGGCAGTATGCCCTTATCACGCACCAATAAACAAAAGAGGAAATTTTATCGAACGACTAACTGCTTTATGATACTTCGATATGAAACGTTAGAAATCCCAGAAAATGTCAGTAAGTACAAGGTGATTGGGCATGTTTCCCCGGTCGCCAAGTGTTCTGAGAACAGTTTGTCACTGTGGACTAACGTATACGAATACGCACTCAATTTATTCAATGAGGATTGATCTGAAGTGCTGTCAACGAACTGTGATGCTTGCAGTGCAGTCCTTCCACTTATTCCAACCCTGAGTGGATATCCATTAATGTTTGTATAACCTAATGTCACTATTGGATATGGTCACTTGATTAACAAGCATATTCCTTCCAGTGAATTTCTAACTGATTTCGTTGCCATTTTATTTCGTTAGAATTTTCGAATGCCCATTTTGTTTTACGTCTCGCTACTTGGTACGTATTGGGCGGATCTTATTTCTTCTCTGTGACTTTTAGCAAGCCAACCTGAACCGGAGATCAAAACGCACCCGGAATGTTTTGTTTAAGGGTGACCGGCTAATTGCATTTTGTGACGATGAGGGGAAATTTAATTTCTAAATGTTGGTGGAGAAAATAAAAATTACCTTGGAACAGCATATAGCCACATACAGCTTGACACAATTTAGTCCTAGAAGTGTGGTTTAGGACCCGCAGATTGACAGTTTTTGACATCCTAAGTGGCTGCCTGTTGAAAATGGTTGTTTGGCGCTTGCTGTTTGTAGAACCAATTGGATGCCAAACACATACAGTTATCAAAAAATATAGGAATAGTGCGTTGCGTTCAAATCGCGATGTACACCTTACTCACACAGGCTATGTTCTCATGGACAGCCGGGTCAGCGTTTGTTGTCGTTTACTTCGGCTCAGTCCAAGACCATCAAAGGCGGGAATACATTTCTGGAGGTGATTTTTACCCAACTGCTAGAGTTCTAAAAAAGGGGACTTAGAAACCTGTCAAAAAATATAACTAAAAGGCTTACATATGTGGTAAAATTCAATTTGAGTCGAGTTAGCAATTTGACTTTCTATATTTGAATGTGCGACAGGAATAATGGGCAAGGCTAACTGTTCAACTGACGTCATCGCCTGTCAAGTCCCGTCTTGCCTATTGGAGAAGATTAATCAAGCAGGACTTTGGAATAAGTAATTCTCTAACTCCGGAAATGACTGAACTGAATGACACGTATCGCTCAATGCGTTATTCATATCCGAGCACATCACAGCCAAACATTCAATAAATTAAGGTGCTAAGTTTATTATTACGAGACGTACCAGGCTTCCCAAGGCTATGCGAAAACGTCTCAAACATATGCAAAAACGCTCAGTTTGCTTGTAATTCAAAAAAAGGCTACTGACTTTTATCATTCTCTGTGACCCAGACGAATGCCTGGGGGCACCTTTCCAAGATTGGTCTGAAAGACACTTAGCTGTGTCTTCTATCTCAATGAACACGGATGTGTGTGCGTCGTAGAGCTAAGACTAAATAGGCGACAAAAAAGAAGTCTACCAATGCTTCTGATTGTGAAATGTATTTCGGATCAAAAGGTGAATCAAATCATCAACAATATGTTGTACCTTGCGGTTCTACGGGCTTTATAAAACGTCACATTCTGTAAGAGTTTATGTGAGAAGGAGTTGGCATGATCTACCCTGTAAAGTACTGTGTTCCAATTGATGAAAACCACTCACAAAGTTGCCAAAACTATTCAAAAGCAAACTTATGTGTAGTTCCCTTTTTAGGCTTATTTTGCGATATCTAGGATATCGTACGGAACAAACCACGAAACAGCCTCTGTGCATAAAATTGGGTGGAAAAATACCATAATGAAGATGTGAAGCTGGTTTTTAGGTTAGATTTGAATACATGTTCACCCAGATTGAATTCATCCCCAAGTTCACTGTTACCCGAGTATCATCCCTTAATTTTCAATAAAAGGCCACAAACATTTCACTCGACCATAAAGTAACAGCTGAGCAACTTGGCAAACATTTCACCAATCTCAGGTTTACTTTTTGTGCAAGCTCATTGACGGTCAGTAGGTCTGGAATTCCTGAGGTTATACTGCCAATAAACTAAAAGCACCGTGAAAAATACACGTTTATATTGGGAAATAACAAGACTAACTACATTATTTTCTTCCTAACCGGTGGCATAATACAATTACCAGCTTCTTGAATAGAGCCATATTCAGGAAAGTGATACATTACGCCAAGAGCAAAACTACTTGGTGGTTGAAAAGTGAAGTTCACATAGTCGTCGCAAAGCGCCGTGTCACCCTTTGCAATTAAATTTGCTTTTGTGAGTGTTGTCGTTAGCAAGCTAATAGCCAAGAAGCCGAGTGCGATATTCCGACTTCGAAACTCAGTCCTACCTTTAATGACCGTTTCCGTTGTTTCGCATTTTAAGCTGACGTGAAGCAGTCCACCAGCTCACCAGCAATCTGTTTAAACGGTTGATCTCTAGGACGATTAAACCTGCATGTTTCCGGTTGCATGCATGGACGGTACACATAAGTCATAACGGCTTAGTGATCCCCAGTCAGTTGAGTGCGCTTTCATTGTTCTTTGGACCTCCAGCGTCGCAAACACAGTGACTTTCCCTATAATCACTACAAAACTGTGTTGTCCAAGTGTTTATGGATATATCTGTAGAATGGATCGCAAGCCGTTCAGTGAAATCTCTGCGCCAAACTGCCTTCATTAACTGAGGAGTTAATCTTGCACTGTGACGAGGTACTATGAAACACGTGTGCGTTGAACTGTCAGATTGGACATTATTCTATCGTCAAATGAACCCCCAGGTTGCTAATAGATACGGACCGTTAGATTCTTAAACAATGAAGAGGTATTCCTCTTGCCAGTCCAATTTCGACGGTGGGTTTTTCTACCGAGTCACGGTTCCATGCACAGTTTCTTTTATTTGCATTCCGAGTATCGAACATCGGTTAACACACTAGAACATTTGAAAATCCACGTGTGACACTTTTATTTCACAGATTTTTAATATGTTTTCCATAAAACCAATATATCTTTGGGTTGCAACTTATTTAATTAACCGGTTGTTGTTCAGCAGACAAGATGTTGTGTTGCTTGGTAGTGCTTGGTGTATTCGCTTGCAGTTTTGAGCACCTTTTTTAGTGGTCACATGCTAGGTTGTTCTGAGCGTTGCACGTACACGCGCCTCAGTGCATCCGCTATTTTGATCCTACTGTCCGTTTCTATGAATTTCTGTTGTAACCTTGCTCTCCTTGTTCCAGCACCCCGTCCTTCGCTATATGGGTATCCGCTAGTAGGCACACGTCCCTCCATCACTGAACGTAAGTCATTAACTTGATCATTTTGTCGATATTTCGTGAATGCTAAAAGTAATTGCATTGTGTTATGTACAAGGCTTCTCGTGCAAAGAGAAAAAGATCACCGTTAGATGCTCAAAAACATAATTGATTAGCGCTCCTCTACACTCCCAAGGTAACCACCATTTTCCAATTCTAGAAAGCGAGCACTTTTCAAAGTTTTTTCTAACCTCACTCTAGAACAACACATCTCGCATAAAAACATATTTTCGATGGCTGTTGTCAGAACAGTTTGTGTTTGGGTTTGACATGGTGTGACCCATAAGACGTAATACGGTCGTAGTGAGTATAAAACGGTTTGGTCAAAATTCATCTCGTGGCCTAAACATAGGTAGGGAACAATAAATTATGGGACTTATTTGATCCACTAACTTGAATAGCTCACTACATGAGTGCCGGCGTTTTCAAATCATAGTTCAGTTGGGTGAATGCCTATGCTGACAAATTTTTCACTGGTCGGAACGTGTGTTTTGATCGGTCTCGACGATTTATCGGCAACCTCTTTGTAAATGCATGGGTAAGCTGTTGCATTATTTAAGCAATAATCCACGTCTGCTGAATGGGCTAGCGCAGAATGATTACTATTTTGTATCAGTGAAAGCTAGTTGTGAATAGTTCGAACAACAGCCTAAGCACTCGCCCGTCGTTCGCCCAGCATGTGACTCCATATGACAGGGTCTGACTAGACAATTGGTCTTCTAATCCTCTGACTAGTGGGTATCTTGTAGAGGGTGCTTGTAGACGAGCTGCAAGGAATGTCTCCTCCCAAGTTCTCTGAGTCTTGTTACTAGGTGGACCACTATTTAAAGACAGACACAATTTAGCAGGTTTTTAACGACGCACGGTACACCACCGATTTTGGAGTCTTGTTTGTCATGAACTTCTCTATCTCCTCAAAACATGTTTGTGAAAAAGTTCACCAACTTTTCCAAATTGAGCCACTTTCTTGATGTAGCATATCTTTCATAAGTTTGTTGTAAATTCTTGAACAGCCTTCTACCGGTTTCTCCACAAATTGTGTCTCTTCTATGGGCATACTTTTTAAGTTTTCATGAAACCCACGTTCAGCTTGAACATGAAATTTAAAAGCGGTATGAAAATTTGAGCGTAAGGCTGGTTTTTAGTCGGGTGATTTTATATAAAAAATATCAGTAAGAGTGGTCTAGTAGATTTCCTAGTTAACACGAAGTAAATATACAAGTGAGTGTAACTCGCTAAGTTCATTCCTCGTTGACTTGAATTTCACGTTTTCAAGAGCACTGTCGGTCATGATTTCCGCATACTGATGAAAAAAGCTGGCAAATGTAATCAGGTGATTTGTAGCTTTGGCGCTCGTGAAGTCATCGTGAATTAGAAATAGAAAAAATACTGCACTAACTGACGATTTGTTGTGCAGTGTAGATTATCGTCACCCATTGCCAAAAGATGAAACCGTTCTTCGTGATAATTTTCTTGTTCAGCTGTCCGCCGAACGCAGTACTAAGTCTCTAAAGATCAGTACCGTGTTTAGTCAGTGGCTCCGTTTATAATGAGTACCAACTAAATAAACAAGTTCTCCAATCTTCTGTCAGCAATGTCGAGAGCAGCGGCATGAAGTCACTTCAAAATCAATCCACTGGGATTCGTAAACCAGAAGATTATGAGACAACTCAGCCCTCCTAAGCCCCGAAATTTATGACACAGTGCTTTGATGTGGATACCACATTCAGAGATGCTACGTCAATAATTTGGATTGATTTGAAAGTCTTTAACCTGGAGTTCGTTTTGTAAGTAAAACCAACCCACGCGGAAAATCAGAGAAGCGTCCTTAAAACATCATTTTTTTGTCCCACCAAAGGAAGGCAATATTCACCAAACACACTGATCGATCTCAGGGAAACGCTGCCTCAGGAGTGACGGCCTGTTGACTTGGGAGCCTAGTGATCACAACATACACAAAATGTTTGCTATCTGAAGTGTGAATTTTTGGAATACTACTTTGAACAGAGACGAAATCTTATTGGATGTCACCCCTCCTACAGAATTGCCACAAATGATCGGTTGTTAGGAGATGAGTAAATCACCAAATCAGATAAACCCTGGTTGGTGGCACTTAGTACGGAAACCCCAGGTTTAGTCTAGATGAAATTAGCTTTAACGACATTGTTAGCACACCGTTATTTATCGGCCGGCAACTCTATTAAGAAGTGGCTAGTCTAATAAATTCTCAGCGCGTTAGTGACCTGAAAAATGCTTTTCTAGTGAACAGTACAGTGAACAGTACATACAGTCGATAAAACAGCATGTGCCGCTAGTTTCAGCCACTTTCTACTACGTCCAGTTTATGCTCTGATTTCATGTTAACTGTGCACTCCTGTCCCTGGCTGACCCATTATTCTCATGCACTTTTAACAGCAGTAAGATCACAGATCAATTTGGTTGGTCACGTGTACAAAGGTTAATTTTCACAAGTATTACCAAGATACTTGTAAGATCCAACCGTGGTGACTTTTCGTCCCCTGTGTGGATACACACAGTGGATTGATGGCAGCAAACGACTGCCACGTATGCTAACAAACTCAACAAAATGCACTGAATACCAAAGTAGTGTGGAAGGCAAGAGAAGTATTTCGCCAAACAACCTATTTTGTTCAAACAATACCATTAATATCATATGTTCTGTAAGTCGTTTATCCTGCACAGACCCAAGAACGACAGACAAAGAGCCGTAACAAGGAAATGAAAGTGATCTCACCATCAACAGCTCAATTTCTGAGGCTATCTGCAATCCATCCAGTTCGTGAAACTTCATGTAGCATATTCAGCAAATTACTGAGGCATTACATTGGCTACTGGCTCCGTCGCTTTTATTGTTTAGAGTGAAGGACTTCGGAATCACTCACCTCTCAGGGTAGAAGACTTCCGTCGTGTATACAAGACGCCGTGCCGGAAACTGGCATGTTCCTAGTCACAAGAGTGCTGTCTGACCTTCTATTACAAATGCAAAGATGCTGCCGTTCGCCACAGTTGAAATTCCATGAACGGTTGCTTATATATGGACTGGCTGCGAAATATCATTTTGGAAAGATTAACGCAATTGGCAGGCCGTTTGTCCTTGGAACAAAGGTAGCAAGAGCGACGGGGCTGAGAGGCGGGCTTGCTTACCTGCCTTTCATCTCATCATTCGGGAAAGGGGTAATCAACAATTCCACCGTTTGGGACTTTTAACTTAGAGGAGCAATCAGTCCTTCTCATTCTGAAGTAATTTTCAGTAAAGAACCGTGGACTGCATCCAATCATAAATTGAATGAACAATTTTCTGAGGATAGTTCCTGTTTTCTAAGTAGCCGAATTTACACGTGTGATAAACTCACTCTATTTGTTCTTATCCAGGGAATAAATGATAAAAAATATTTTATACCGGACAACTAAACTGGATATGATCCTCCCGATTTGAGTATGGAATCTAGCTGATCGTTAGGAAGCAGATTGCCAGTTTGCAACTGAGCAAACGGTAGCTGTGCAGTCTAGTTTATGAAGACATGGATGGGTTACAGGGTTGCTGAAAACCCTCCAACAGACCATCACAAATTCGGTCTTTCTTGGGACTCATTAGGTGGGCGCATTCCCCGAGATTCCGTCAATTTTATATTCTACTTGAACCCGAATTGCACGAAATTTGACTTAACAATTTGCACCTTATCTTTACAAGGCCACACACTCTTCTGAGTCGCGCCGTGATACTTACTTATGGATGATGCAGTAAAATCAGGAACAGCTAGTAGAACACTTACGGTTTACTAGAGTTTGTTTAAAATCAGCTGATGGCTACTTTGCCCTGCTGGGAGTTTTTCAAGCGGCCCCGTTCCCGTAAACCCGGAGGTGGACGTCTTGTATGCAGGCTATATCTCCAAATTTATTCGTAGTATTAACAGATTATTCAGTCAACTCTCAGGCCTCTGATGCACATAGATAACGGTATCTGCTTAAATTCACAAACATCTACTTTCTGGTTTCCTCCGGGTTGGCAATCTACAAAAACGCTTGGAAAAGAAGGAAGCGCTGAATATCCTCTCAAAAGGATCTCGGGGCTTTTGTCCTGAGCATTGTTCTCAAAATCATCAGATCTGTCGCTCATTATTATGACACAAAGGGTCTTCTTTAGATAAAGGGACGCTGATGGGAAAGTATAACTCTAATATCTCGAGTCCAAGTAATCCCTTTTCTTAGGTAAGTAAGAAGGCAGAGCTTAAGAGGGGTTTATATTTACTTCTTTCATTCGTGAACAAAAGCAGGCGATATTCCGAAGACAGCAGCAAACAGAATCAAAACCTACACATTGGTTTTACGATCAGGATGGAAGCAGTCAACCAGTGCCTGCACACACAACGTAGTCTATCTAGCATGGATGGAGACCAGTAGCCTCGATTACGACTGATAATCAGTTGTTCTGGTCACACAAATCGCTGAACTGTCGTTGGTGTCTTAAAGTCATATTTTAAACACTGCCTGCGTAATTGTTGCAGGGTGTTACTGGCAGTGTTATTTTTGGAGGATGCTCAGCTACCTAAGTGACGAAATTCCTGGTGTTCTGCCGTTCTGACGCGCCTGCGAATACACATAAAGTGAGAGAAACATGTGAGGCCAAAGTAGTAGACCTACTGTTAACAATTCTGAAAGCAATCTTCTTGATGGGCCTTAACTCTGAAACAAGATGAGATTTTAGGTAACTTCAATAATCCCTTGATCGTTGGCTCAGCCAGATTTTGTATGAAGATGAACTCTTCAGGGCATTCGCTTGCTTTCTGCTTCCTCCACCGTCAAATCCATCTGGTTTGCTTTTCAGGGAAGTCGCATATGAAGTTAGCAATACGTCTTGTGAATCGCCGGTGCATAGTAGAGAATTTACTTGCAGTGTCTATATAATTATCTACGTAGTCTAACAAAAGCTGTGAAAGTTTTTAATGGAAACCCGCGATGTTGGCTAGTTCGTTAACTACAAGACAAAAGAGATGTAAAGGATTATAACTGGTTATAAGAACACGGAAAGCAACCGAAAATCCTCTGACATGGGTACATCGTTAAGTCGTATCCGGACAATATAAAAGACAGTCATATTAAACCTGCGTTTATAAAAACAAGTAATGGAAAAAACTTACTTATGCCTGAAGTCTCATCCACCCCACATCGACGAAGGATTTGGTGCATGAAAACACTAAGTGTTGTCTATTATGGCAGGAAAGTGGCTTCAGACGACGCTCATAGCTCATCAAGCCTTGAACGTGTCCCCCAGACTATTGAACGTGGTGCAAAACTATTACACGTTGCGGAAAACACTGCCCAATCTCACGAAACAATTCAGCATAGGACATCTCTGGCTAGACCTTCTGATGATTATTTTACCTGTTTTTTCCAGCTGAGATACCATCTGAAGAATCAAAAGAAGTGACACCTCAAATGAAGGCAATTCGGAAAGAAGGTGAGTGTATCTCTAAAACAAATCAAAGATGCACAGTAGGCTCATGGTGTGATAAATACAGGCCATTTCCGAGACTCAATTTCCCAACTTTACGCCAACCTAAAGTCTCTTATTGATGATCGGAATTCTTTTTCCCTGAAGGGATTCGATTGTCGGGCAGGGCTCTAAGAAGTGACTAATGTCCATATACTCCTTCGAGTATGTGATCAATAAAAATCGTGAACTGCGTCGAAGCACTTATTTCAAGATACCGTATGCCGACTGACAGGCATCCAGTTCGTGTCAAAGGAGCTTCAGGTCCTACTCAGGACAATGTGTAAACTTTTCTACTGCTTGTAACTTTCCAAAGTCAAAAGAAATGTTTTTCTTATGCACCCCACAGAGCTTCAGCACAGTAAGTTTTGCAGTTGAGGTTCAGCAAAAACTGTGCACCCATAGCATTTAGGCCAAGCGGAGCCGGAACCTCGCCCCACCTCTAAACTGCATAGACGATAATCCAAAATGCATAATTAGTCTGCATTTTTCATTCGCCTTTCTTCTAACCAGAATCAAAGTGCATATGCATGGGTTTGCACGTCTTTACCTACACTTATCCAGTCTGTCCTACATGGGAACTGAAACCGATGTTTGTCACCCTTTCCTCATCAGAACCAGTGAAACTGACACGGGAATCTGTGGCGTTCCGATGTGATACGTGTCAACAGAGCAGCATGACCATAACTACCTACCACGTAGGAACCGGAACCTGGTTAATGGCCGTTCTAATTTTTCTACTTGGGTAAGTGTTTTCGCAATCCAGAGTGGCTTAGAGTTGCTTCAGAAAGATAGATCTACCCAATTATCATACCCGAAACCCACAAGTGGATTCCAAAGGCAGTATTACATATGATTTTCGTCACTAAAGAAGTGTAAGCTTATACGGTATCTGATGCGAGACGGTATACTACAGTCGTCAGTTTTTCCTGACTTTTTACCCTCATGATCAAAACAAAATAAATAAAGTTTCATTACATCAATCCAGGTAATTAGTGTAGGAATTTATGATCAGTTGAACATGTGCAAAACTTCGGAAACAAAATTTGACGTCCACAAACGAAACAGCATTTCGGAAACAAAATTTGACGTCCACAAACGCTGTGAAACAGCATTCAGTGCGAAAAAACTAAAGGTGGTTGACGTAAATTAGTAGCCATCAACTAAAAAGACGAACATTGTGCTATCTGCAGTAAAATATTCGGAAGCTTTGCCCTCAGAATTAATCGCGCTTTCCTCCTCACACTTCTCTGAAGCCGGTTTCAACCATGTGCAGGTTCTGTTGTTGGAAAAGACTAAATGACTGTTGGCTAAGACCAGTCAAAAAACAATTAGTGGATCAGTCAGAGTTTCTGCGTACGTAATAGACACTAATATCGGGTTCGTAAAGTATAATTTGCCTCCGGATCCTGCTGCTAACCTTGATACCAAGGGGGTGGTGTATACGTTTTGATCTAACTGTTCCCAACTTTCTCCATCATTTGGGCTAAGGATGAAAACCGTGTCCTGATGATCCTTGTACATCTTACGTGGATGATATTGGTGGTGTTCATCATCATCATCATCATCATCATCATCATCATCATCATCATCAGATAGAACAATATCAGTGTTGACACCGATGCTTCACTGCCGTACAAGCAAGGCGTTTATCCAATAATATTCATAGCAACTCTTCTGAGGTGTCTGTGGTTAAAAACCGGACGACGTTTCACATCATCTGTCGGCAGAGGCTACATCTCGTAGCTATACAGAAACACAGTCCTTACTACCAGTGATATGCCTTTTTACACCACAAGAGACGCAAGCGTGATTGGGGTCTTTGAGATTCCCGCACTATCTTCGTCAGACACACTTCCCCCAGAGCTAATGAAACTGCCGAGATTGGTAAAATTTTCCACAACATCCAGTGATTCTCCTTGAATTGTAGGAGATATGTTCAGAGATATGTTCAGGTTCTGCATATTCACCAGGACTTGTGCTCCACCTTCTTCCTAAAAAAGAGGACGATGTAGTTTTTGTACGTCATATCGACAAGGTTCTTACCGATAACGATTTGAACACCGGGGTTTTGAAGACCTTTCTGTATTTGGCTCATCATTTCAACAATGACGAAGTCAAACTAGAATGGAGAGATTAAGTATCCTTGTCGGACACTGCTTTTTGTAAGGGAGCTTTTGGAAGGCTCATCAATATAGACTAACACCACCCATAGTACGCAACTATGGGGACCTGTTTATGCTCACAAACCTTTAGGGCATATCCTGTTGAGCAATTGTAGTTGACAGCACTGACAGATTAACAGTCAGACCTCAACAGCGTTCATGTCGTCAGTAACCACAACGATGTCTGAAGCAGCAGTCGATTGTAAGAGAGCACGTGGTGCATAATAGAAACTGCCCCTGGCATATTCAGAGCTACAATCTGTTGGGTCGTAGGCAGACACAGTAAAGAGGGTGCAACGGACCTCATTTTCTCTAGATTCTTTCGCACAATTTACTAAACACACCGCGGAGAGGCGAATAATAATTGCTATCCAGTCAAGTGTATACGCTTCCGCTGGTTCGCCTAATATAATTGTTACCCCGGCATTTCCAGCTGCAGCAGTCTTAGAATTTCCAGGGTTGTGCAGGCGGAATCTGGAAGAGAGCGATGGGGCAGTCATTTCAGTTTGCGGCACTTGATTCCTGCCTCCTTGTGCAAAGAGAACCCTGTGTACGAGCAACAGCCACTTGTTGTCCTGCTTGCTTCAGGGTGCGAACACTGCCAACAGCTGAGTAGACAGTCTTTCCCTGTTTGGAAACTTACTTTGAAGTGTTTAGGGTAGTCATTGAAGTCGAACTTTCAGACTTTGCAACTGAGTGTGATGCACGTGAGCGAAATGGTCAAACCTAGTGTTGGGGTCTGCAGAGGTTATTCACATTTGAACGGGGCAGAGTGGAAGACTAAAACCGTGAAAGCGTAAGAGGGAGACGTCATCAGTAGCACGATTTTAGTTACCCTCCCTGCTGTATGCAGCGAGTAAGGCGATCTAGCTTGTGACACGAAGTGCAAGCGGAAGTGGCCTGAGAATATTGTAGGTTGTTGTTATTTTCCACGGGATACTCTCGTTTGCCTGCATTCACCGTCGCCTAAATCTAAAGGCGTTTCTTTTGTACGGTAAACCAGAATTGCATCTGCTGGGTTTCGAAATCAAGTAGGAATTATGAATTCTGCCACAACTTTTTGCCACCCATTTTAATCCCTCAGTTGATTCGCTTGTTTGAAACTAATGATGAGGTACAATATTATACAGAATTTTAAGTGCTGCAGCACCATTATTACCATATGTATTGCAAGCATAGGCTTTAGGAGGCAATCATTCCTCCAGATGCGCACATTGCTAATTCAGAAAGACCAGATTTTTGACCACTTTTACGTAAGGTATTGTTCCAGAACCTGGCATATTGTGGATGTGTGAAAGGTGCAACTCCTACCAGGCTGAAACTTCGCTTGCTGCTCCCGATTCAATGTCTCATGGACCATCCGAAAGCGAGAAATGACAATCGACTTCAAGTCTTGTTACGACTGAAGTAAAGCTTTGCTTATCGATTTCATAGATGTCCTTCTTTGAAACGTGGTATGGTTGCAGATACTTCCGAATAGTTTGAGACAATATTCGCTTTCCCAGTGAGGACAAATAAACGAAAGCATTGATCACTGATTACATCGCTCCTAGCCTTGAATGAAGTGGATGAGGTCATCCAGACTACGTAATGGGTAGTGCTTTAAAGAAAATGTACAGTCGTGAGCCCCCAAGGTCGTGATGAGTTGCAAGGTGCAGGGTGCCACTGCCGCACAACAGAATGTATTTGGGACCAGTGGAGGCCTATGTCAGGGGTTTAGGTGCCGGTGTTCTGTCTGATGTACGGTGATTAAGGGAAAATGGTGGTATGGATTCGTGAACAAAAATTCCAACAGTGTGAAACCTGCGTCGATATCACTCCAGTTGATATCCAAACCCGAGAGATCAAAAGATATTCTGACAGGTGATGGTGACTAATTCGCTTAAATTTGGAAAGTGCGAACTTTTCAGTTTCCAAGCAGTTTGTCGTTGTTTGTGGTGCCCCGAAAGACCAAAGAAGAAAGATCTGAGGACGAGTGTGAGATCATAATCCACAAGTGCTACAAAGCTGCGACAGTCGGTTATTAATCCGCGTCATTGGTAATTGGAGGTGATGTGACCGGATTTCTCCGAGTCCAGATGTCAGTGAATCACTGCGTTACTCAGCATCAAAATAAAGCTGAAGTAGTCGTCCTCTGGTGTCCGTTTATTCTGGGACCAATCGAATACCACCGTTTAGTTTAGTCTTAGATGCCTTAATTCTTCTCAGTTGTGCATTCGAATCCAGGATGACTACAACTTATCTGAGTTTCAGCTTGCCGCTTCACGGCACATCACGCACCTTGAAAAATGTCGTTTTTATCGCCGCAGTCAGCGCGGACAAGAGTAAATAGGGCAAACGGATAACGTTCAGTTTTGTTGTACTCCCATATTGTCGTTTCAGACTTACATTGATGAGTGCAGAGAAGGATTGTGAGATTGTGAGATTGTGAGATTGTGTTTGGGTGTTCAATTCTGGTTTCTAATAGAGCACCCTCCAAGCACTTCAAATGACTTCAGTATATGAATAAATCAGCATGTCATCTTGATTATTCAATAAACACAGTAACATGAACAGGCGTTCAGGCTTAAAGATTGATCCCGAGGTGCCCAAAATAGTCAGAGCTGACTGACACACAAGTATCGTAAGAAAAGTAGGATCGACACTTCCTATAGACCAACATAAAACGAGACTATTAGAAAGGAGGTGAGAGAAGTAAGAAGAACGAGCACTGAAAAAATAACGGAGAGATCTGTCAGTAGTAGTTTGTTTTGGCTTCTCGCCAGGAAGTAAGTCAACCCGCCCCAAGACACCAATAGACAGCTGAGGTGGAATAATGTTATAGCTGGTTGTGAAAGCTATGGGTGTACCCGGATCGAGATGCAGGCAAGGAGCTCAAACTTAGATGAGGACGTTTGGCTTAAACGCCAAGCGAGAAATGCAAGTGCATTGCATTTCCTTACTAGCAGACCATTATCTATGTTCCAACTCTTAATACGCGGGACGAGGAGACTGTATTGATCAGAGCTCTAACCACTGGCACACCTGGCATGAAAGACTGTTAGTTTCGCACGGATACCCCCCGCATATATACATGGGTCACAGTGCCAAATATGCTTCTGATAACCTCCCTTTTATCCGTCCCATGCGATCAAAATGATCAAAGCGCCGTTTATCGGTGTCGTGGCACATATTGTTCATTATGTTTCATAATACTCAGGGACGTTCCATGTTGTGTTAGACGTCGCCGTAGGATAAATTTCGAAACCGTCCAATTCCTCTGGAAGTGAATATACCCGGTCAAGACCCTCAACCGGCAGCTGATTTAAGTGGTGTGTTTGAAACTGGCTTCGTAATTCCCTGGATTGACGTAAGAGACCGTGGTAGCTTTTTCCTATCTCGGATCCAACAAGGTGACTGAAATGAGACGTACTAACTTTTATGGCTTCAAAATTTGCATCTGACGGGAGATTGACGAAAACCTTCCAAGAACTCTGGGGTAATTTAGCTAACCGGAACATAACTTTGTCATGTAGCGACATGTCTAACTTGTATCTCAGTGACTAAGTAAACGGTATTCTGTATCCTTACGATGGCGATGGCTACTGCAGCAAGAAGCTGCACATTTCGTTAATTTGTCGCCTAGTTTCTTTCAAGAAACAGGGTACTAATCTTCGTTCTTTCAAGAGATGTCCAGCAGTTCGCAGCCGCAGACCAATACCCTAATAAATTTTCCACTCTTCTTGAAACTCAGGTTAGGAAATACGCACATTTTTCTCGACCAAATCTGACAATGAACAGCTATCAGCGGGATGCTGGAGACATTTTCAAAAGTGGTGAAGTGAAGATGAACTATCTGTGCAACCTGTCTTCTTCAGTCTGTTGAAATCTTCTATATGTTCACGTAGAAATTGATATGGTCCGGATCAGGTACATACTACTAGACATGATGCGAAGACAGTTGATTTGTGGAACGTGATGGCCACGCTTGTCTGTGTGTGGTTTTATGTTGCATGAAACCGCAGTGTGACTATCGTTTTGAGAAAGAAACAGTCAGACATTCATGAACCGCGTAAATTCAGTCTTGGAAGATTAAAGTACTGCACGTTTTAAATTCGGCGCATGTTAACCCAATCAACAAGTTTGTCAGTAATATTAAATCTAGAGCTAGCTTCAAGAAGCGTGTGGTACTCTAGGATTCTGGTATGGCACTTATAGAGGCCAACATCTCCGAGCTCGCATAACTCCTGTTAGCACGTCTTTTTAGTTTTCACCTTGCTAGGTATTGGAGATAGCAAAGCGTCTTGCAGCACAGTTTGATTAAATCCTTCATAAAGTGACAGTAATGCCACATTCTTTCTATTGTTACAGGGGCGTTTTGGGGTGTTTCCTGATTCCGTTCTACACGAATTGTTGCAAAGATGTGAAACACACTTGCCCCGTTTGTGATACAGAAGTTGGAGTGGTTAAAGCGATTTAACATTTAGCATAACGTGATTCACCGCCAACCCACCCGGTATGTACAACTGCACAAACGACCGACTGGCAGAACCATGAAAAAAACAATTATGGATTACATTTTGGATTCCCGCCATCTTGTGACGTCCTTCAACTCAAATACACCCGCACCCAGTTGACTCCATCCCTCTTGCCAAATGAAATCACCCGTTGTAACCTTCACGCCGTTTCTGTCCAGTAATGTCTCAATGCGTTCCTGAATTACCAGTATCTTTCCAAATCAGCACTTTCCCTTTTATTTTGCAGTATGAACCTTATCCCCATACTCACAATGAAGTAACCCTTCTTGTACCTAACCGACAACTGAGTGGTCAGCCTGAATGTTGCTGCATTTTACATACTGTGGTATACCCAACCATAGGCCTACGTCGTAAATTTTGATGTCACAACAAAAAAAACAAATCAACAACTGTGTTCCCGTGCACCTTCCACGTAAATGAAGGACATACACATGCTTTTTTTGTTTCAACAAGGGTAGGCGTATATGAGTAAGGACAGTGAGTTGCGTGCATTGACAATGCTCCTTTGTTCTCTGGGGGCTCCAGCTTAAAGCTGCGCTCACCTCACCATTCCTAATACATTTGTTCCCGTTTTCGCACAACTCAATTCAGCATGTGACTGAGAAAACTCCCGGGTGGTTAGGAAATACTAATATCACGTGAACGTTCAAGCTTACTAGAATTCAGTGAATTAGAGGCAAAAACAGCAAGCGATCCACTGGAATTCTTTGTTCTGATTTGTTGCACCTTTGCAGATAAAATAATGCTTGTTGCAATCTGGTCAACCCAACCTGACTACGAACAAAGCACTTGCAGTTTTACTTCATAGATGATATGTCCACTTGATGTGAACATCTAAAGATAAATGTGCATTTCTGACTAAAATTTAGCCATGCATTTTTAGTTATCGGCAAGCAACAAAGCCACCCACCGAAAAAATAGTCGTATTTAGAGAAAAAGTCTCACTTTCCACAAAGCCGTTTTAGTTACAGAACCAGTCTTAGTGGGAGGTTAGGAATTTCAACATTTACTAACCTTCTATCAGGTAGTCGAATAAAGCGTGATGTCATGTAATTGAGATCGAGGTTGTTTAGATACTTGATTTCCAATAGATAGATTCCCAAACATGTTTTATCTTGAAAGGACGTTACTGCTAAGGTGACTAAAAACGCTTCCACCGTGAGCTGCGTTGTGTGTTTCGGGGTTGTATATAGTAGCCTCCATGTGGGAATTTCCGTGATTATCATTGAAATATCTTTCGGTGGTATGGCACCATGAGCTGGTCCTTTAGTTTTTTCGAGTCCATTTTTACTTCTTTGTTTGTGTACCAGCTGATGGTAGTATTTCGTTTGTAGAATAAAAGCAGGAATTCTGACAGGATTTGTCACCTGACTCGAAATCACTGAAGTATATTTACCAAGTAAAGTGGTTTTAACTCAATTAATGTACAGCATAGGTGTTCCAGTCGTTTGCCGCATATCCCCACTGAAGCTCTCATAGGATGATGCTGACGATATGGCTGACGTGGGTGACTATCAGCCCATTTAAGCACTCACGAAATCTAAACTCCTGTCATGGTTCCGTGTTGTACAACTGAGCTCAGTGTGTTTCAAAACTATATCATATACTGTTTCATAGGTGTTCATTAATGACAAGTGCACGTGAAGAGTGAATACCCGTGGATGTAAGTAGCTCTCAATTCTGTTTATACCTCAAAAGGTGAAACGCCTGGCTAAAATGATTAAAATACCGTAACTAACCTGCATAAACCCCAGAGTTTTACTGAGCCTGATACTAAAATAAGGACGTTAAAACCAATCGATATTCTCAAACCACAGTAGAACGTCAACCGTTTTAATTCTCGAATTGCGAACTGAATCCATCAAGAGTGGTGAACTTTTGGGTGTAAGATTGTAGTATCGATCGGCGAAATCTTACCGTACTCTCGTTCACCCTTTGAATAGCGTGAAAAACGGCTGAGCGAAACTTCGTCTTTGCTAAATTTAGGACACAGCAACCCAGTATCTGTTATAACCTGAAAACAGGTCGGCACTGTCGGCTGGTCACCAGTCGGATTCGTTCGGAAAAGTGACATGATTGTGCTCTCTTAATTTCTAAATGCGAATGATATCTTTACAAGTCAGCTAACGGCTCGCATTTTGAAAGTGATTCTGGCAAAACTAACGTCTAAATAGGTTTTTTGCATGATTTTCTAATGACCGGTTGCGACTATCAATTTTTCAGTGCAGATATTCTGACTGGAAAAGCTTAGAAATAATTCGTAAGAAACCGATTTGTGAAAATTTGGCGCGCACTTGTTGAATGTTTTGATGGTCGAGGTGTTTCTTGAATAAGTTTTCAGAATGATCAAATTCTAAGGCATACGAAGAGTCAGTCAACGTGATTTCTCCCAAATAACGGACTGAATCGTTGTTCCTTTTAAGCCACGTTTTCTTGATCTATAGTGCTACGGTTGATAAATTTTGAATGAAGAGTTTCCGAAACTAAATGCGTTGTAGTCAGTGGAAGCTTCCTACTTCACCGCCTACATCCTACACTGACGTGCGCTAACTCAGCTGATTCGCAACCGTCCTCCACATATTATCTCGTTGTTCTCTACTTTATTTATACCGGGAGGTCTGACGATTACTACTTTCCCAACTGCAGTCGCTGTGGTGCGAACCTTGGTTCACTCACCTCAAATATATTTGGTGCTTGGTGTTCATTGCATCTCATGCCTTTGCGAGACGAAAAATCATTGCATTATATTACTCTCGGTTGTTTTTTTTATTTGCTAATGGTTCTCACCGCCTCCGATTTATCGGTTCTTGGCTGTTTGTCCCAGAAAAACCTCTAATTTTGTGCAAACTATTCTCAGTCCATTAACATGAGGACAGCGATCCTACAGATTCACCAATACTAAACATTATGCTTCTCTTTCGGTTCATCACTATCGTGAAATATCAATAAGCGGCCTCCCATTGACATCGAATGTCTCTGTTCTGCTCCTTCATTATGGTAGGATTAGTAATCTCTATATGTGTTACATAATGAACCACATTGAACATTCGCTTCATTTTATGCTACTGTTTTGAAGGACCGCTTTCTTGCACGCTGCTCACAACCACTCTACGTTTTCTCGTAAAGAATGTGTCGCTGAGTAGGTTAACATAAGGATAGTGTATGTCTGCTTCTTGTAAATGACCGCCTTGTCTTGCTGTAGTGTACCGTGCAGACTATTAGGCGAATGTGCAGCAACAGGGCTGATACTACACACTGAACTAATTGGAAAGCGAAAATTGGTAAAACCAGGATTCAAGCATATGGTGAATTATTTGATCATCACAGTTAGTAGCGATATGTCCTTCCTTGCTGTGTTACTTGCCAGTTGTGGTCGTCTACCGACTTTACTTTGAAATTAGGTAGATGGTCCGTCCGTTTGGGTAAGTTGTACTAAGGAGAAAGGTATTTCAGTGCCTTCAGTCCTGATAAGCGCTCTCATTTGCAAGCGGATTTCGTTTCAATATCAGAACCAAACGAATACAACAGCAACGTTTATCTGTGAAGGCTTTAGCAGGAAACGCTGCACAAGTTAACCACATATTTCGTTTGGTACGAAATCGACCGTCAAAAAACGAAAGATTTAGCTAGGTTCCAGTTGAATCTGCCGGCAAAATCAACTTTGCACGCAAACGATAGCACTCGTTAAGATATGTCCAACTGGTGATCATTTGAGACATAAGTACCAAGGAAGTTCGAGGGTTGCGCTCACTTGATTAACTCCTCAGCTTTTGAGATGTATCCAAGCAACCTTATGTGTGGTGTTACTTTTGGTACTTTGAGTACTACTTTGGATCTGGTGTCAACGACAGGCACAAGTAAATACTCAACTGTTCGAAACATGTCAGTTGTGGGGAGTATATTACTACTACTTGGAAAAAAAGCAACATATACTGCTGCTGTCTTGAAATTTCAGTGAACCCATCCAGGCAACAAACTCACTCGGAGAAAATAAGCATTTATATCCACTAGCAAGGTTACTATTTACTTACTCCATACTATTTCAATTTAGAAACGACGTATATCTGTGCAATCATAGATAAACAGATCATCATGGTTCTCCAGCATTAAATCGACAACCGTATTTTTGCATAAACGTCATACTGATGCCAAGTATTAAATTGCATAAGCCGGTAACCGAAGTAATACGACGATGAGGTGAGCTGAATTTAGAAAGTCAACGGCCACACACACTGTGGGCAGTGTTGGTCGGCGATTAGTTAGACGTAAAATCTACGCAGAGGGCCTAAGTGAAGGTATTCTCGACAGATGTAACCCAACTGTAAACTAAATACGTCCCATTACTACTTGTTACCTCTGTGGCAGCATGCCGCAAACAGGACACACCTGGTTAATATTCGACTAGAATGTGTCAGGCGGTAATGATTATCGTGTACACAATTTTGACTAAGAGCCTTTTAGGAATTTCCAGAGAGTCGAGGCGATTCCGTTGACTAACACCTTGCCCATGAACTAGCACCTGAACCAGTACGCTCAATAGGGTGGTGAACTGATTGGGATGAGTTCATCTTTCATTCTTGGAAAGAGGTTAGCAGTTTTAATATGGTCCTCCGATGCAACGCAAGTGTAGAACCGGAGCTCTATGTCACCAGTTTAGCTTGGCGTCGCAAGCAGAACAGTGGACCACGTCAGGACGCCTCACTGTTAATCACTAAGTAGTTATTCAAAGGGCGAATATGCCCTTATTTGCTTAGCCAATCCAGATAATCCGGCATGATAAAACTCGTTCCGAGATATGGAACACACCTTAAGTTAGTATAGGACCTACTAATTCAAATGGTTCATATTTCAAAGAGGTTGTCTAGCATGGGTAGCAGGGTGACTTAAGCAATTCGACAAACATGTAAGTGACAGCTCAGGCATTAAGCCTGTAGCGCTAGCTACCAAACAGCATGAAGGGTAGCCTGCAATCTGAAATATCATATGGCGCAACACTGGAAGGCATATCAGAAGGGTCTATAGGGGCCAAGAACAAACGAAGTGAGCATTCTTCATATAAAAGCGTAGCATATGTATATAGATACACATATAAATTTTAACATTATCAAGTCCCAACCGTACAGTTCCAAAGCACTATAAAACATTCCTTTCCCTCGGCTCATGCTTCCCATTTCTTAGGCCGTTTGCAACATAAACCCACACGAAACTAGATCACTTTTTGTTTTGCATACCCAGTAGCTACTGTTGAAACAGAAATTGGCTACTCGCGAGTGACCTAGGGCAGCATACACTTCTGGAGCCTTTTCAGTGTATCTGCGCCGAGTTTGTTAGATGTTTCTGAGATCCAAATAGACATCAGGGTTCAATGAGAGCGATAGCTGCCTCATTTCATTATATACTCCTTGAAATGTCTTAGTTCAATGAAACTGTGTTATTACATTATTGCATATTTTATTTATATCTCCACTATAGGATAAAACAAGTTTGGATCTATCTATCCGGTATCCATTA